ATCGTGCCTCCTTCGCTTCTCCAGGAGAGCCACCCGTTCGCACACCGGGCGCCGGGGGGTGCCAGCGCCGGCGACAGGGTGGCCGCCAAGGGCAGGGCAGCGAGCGTCGGGAACGTCGCGGCGCTCAGGCTGCGGGGGCTCCCCTTCAGCGTGACGGTGCAGGACGTGCTCGCATTCTTCGCGCAGCACGACGTGGTCGACCGCATCGCCGACGGGCCGGATGCCGCACAGCTGCTGACCAAGGCGATCGAAGGAGGAAAGCACCGCACATACATGGACTTTCGGAGGTCCGTGCGGATTTTGTTCCCAACCATCCTGTGGTGTTGGGTCCTCGTTTTGAATAGACAGCGCCCCGCGTCTCCTCCTTCCTTCCTTTCTCCTCCCCCTCCTCCCTTCTCCCTCCTCCCTCCTCCCTCCTCCCCCTCCCCCTCATTGCCTTTGCTCTCGGCACACCTCTCACACGCTTCGTAGCCCCATAGGGAGCTCCATCGAAGGTCACAGTGGCACAGCCCGCATGCGGTTCCTTCACCCAGGGCAGCGTTCCGTGGCCCCATGGGGAGCTCCACCAAAGGCCCCAGTGGGGGGGGGCGCATGCGGTTCCCCCGCCCAGGGCAGCGTTTCGTGGCCCCATAGGGTGCTCCACCGAAGGCCCCAGTGGCTGCTCTCGCATGCGGTTCGCCCACCCAGGGCAGCGTTTCGTGGCCCCATAGGCTAATAGGGAGCCCCACCGAAAGCACCAGTGGCTGCTCTCGCATGCGGTTCCCCCGCCCAGGACAGCGTTCCGTGGCCCCATAGGGTGCTCCACCGAAGGCCCCAATGGCTGCTCTCGCATGCGGTTCCCCCACCCAGGGCAGCGCTTCGTGGCCCCATAGGGAGATCCACCGAAGGCCCCAGTGGCTGCTCTCGCATGCGGTTCCCCCACCCAGGGCAGCGATAGGGAGCTCCACCGAAGGCCCCAGTGGGGGGGGGGGGCGCATGCGGTTCCCTTACCCAGGGCAGCGTTTCGTGGCCCCATAGGGTGCTCCACCGTAGGCCCCAGTGGCTGCTCTCGCATGCGGCTCCCCCACCCAGGGCAGCGTTTCGTGGCCCCGCAGGGAGCTCCACCGAAGGACCCAGTGGGGGTGCCCGCATGCGGATCCCCCACCCAGGTCAGCGTTTCGTGGCTCCATAGGGTGCTCCACCGTAGGCTCCAGTGGCTGCTCTCGCATGCGGTTCGCCCACCCAGGGCAGCGCTTCGTGGCCCCATAGGGATCACCACCGAAAAAGGGAATCACAATTGCGGTACTCACACCTGCATATGGTTGGGTCCTTCGCCAGGCTAATTGGTGACCGTGTTCTTATTTGATTTAATCGCTTCGCTCATTCCGCCAGCCCATCTTGCAACACTGGTGCTATATGTCTGTGTGTTCGTGGCGAGCGACGAAAAGGTGAAGGACGAGGAAGAGGGGGGGATGAGGATGAGGAGGAGGAGGTCTCTGGAAAGCTTTTGTGTCAAGTTGGGGCGAAACTGGTCATGGACAAGGCGCCTCTTTGGGAGTCGCTTGTTGTCTTCTGGGAGGCCTCTCGGGGGCCTCTTGGCGGTGCGCTTTCGTTCGAGAATTGAGGGTCGTTCATTTGGAGGGGGGAGAAGGAGGAGAGGGAAGAAAGAAGGAAGGGTTGGTGAGACGATAGGAGGCCCCTTTTTGGGCCTCTTGGTGGTATGTCTGGGACCTCCTGGGGCGGCACGGGGGCCTCTTGGGGGCCTCCTGAGGGTATCTTGGGCCCTCTCGGGGGCCTCTTGGGGGCTTCTTGGGGGCCTCTTCGCGCTTCCATGGAACCTCTCTGCGCCTCGAGCTCGACATGTCCGCTCGGGTCCCTCGTCTGGGCCCGCTCTAGGAGCCGTCTTGGGAGCCTCTTCGGCCATCTTGGAGGCCTCTGGGGCTGTCTTGGGGCTCTCTGGGGCCGTTGTGGGCGCTCGTGGAGGCCTCTTGGGCCGTGTTGGGGCGATCCCTCGTGGGCCGTCTTGGAGCGCCAGTAAGCCCCCAAGGCGAGGACGCCAAACACCTTCAAACATTCAAGGAGCATCGCTAATTTCTGCCTCTGTGGAGCCTCTTGGGATGTCTCTTGAGGTCTCTTCGGGGTCTCTTGGGGCCTCAGGGGCTTCTTGGGGGCCTCTTGGGGCCTCCAGGGGACCTCCCTGCGCCTAGAGCTCGACATGTCCGCTCGGGTCCCTCGTCTGGGCCCGATCTTGGAGCCGTCTTGGGGGCCTCTTCGGCCATCTCGGAAGCCTCTGGGGCTGTCTCGGGGTCCTCTGGGGCCGTGGAGGGCGCTCTTGGAGGGTTCTTGGGCCGTGCCTGGAAGCTTATTAGGCTGTCTTGGAGCGCCGGTAAGCTTTTAAGGCGAGAACTCTAAAAACCTTTAAACATTGCAGGGGAATCACAACAAATCTGCTCTGTGAAGCATACTGGGAGGTCTTTTTGGGGCCTCTTGGTGGTCTCTTGGGCCCTCTCGGGAGCCTCTTGGGGGCTTCTTGGGGGCCTCTTCGCGCTTCCAGGGAACCTCTCTGCGCCTAGAGCTCGACATGTCCGCTCGGGTCCCTCGTCTGGGCCCGCTCTAGGAGCCGTCTTGGGGCCAAACACCTTCAAACATTCAAGGAGAATCGCTAATTTTTGTATCTGTGGGCCCTCTTGGGAGGTCTCTTGGCGGCCTCTGGGGGCGTCTTGCAGGCGCTTTGGGCTGTCTGGAGGCCATCTTTGGCGTATTGGATCGCTCTTGGGCCGTCTCGGGCCATGTTGAGCTCTCTTGGAGGCCAATTGAAGCGCTCCTGGAGCGCTCTTGGGAGCCTGCTGGGACCTAGGCCGAGACCTGCCCAGGACCGGGGCCTTGCCGGGACCTTGCCAGGGTACTTTTCGTCCGGGGAGCCCCAGGGACAGCCGCGCGCGCGCGAAGTACAAAAAATGGTTAACCAGTGTGCTTTGCGCTTCTTTTTCTTTTTCCGCCAGCGCGAGCCGTGCCGGAGCTCTGCGGGCGCGAGCGGCGATCCTCGCCCCCCTCGCTCCTCCAGCGAAGGGCGGCCGCCGAGGAGGGCGAACGGGGAGAGGCACCCCGAGATCCTGGCGATGCCATTTCTTCACACCGATCTTAGCACGCCCTTGGCCCGTTGGGCCGGTGAATTCATCGTTTTGCCGATCGGCGCGGGCCCTCGCAGCCCCCCCTCCCCCCCTATGGAGTAGATCTTGGTTGTTTGGGGCACCTGTTTCGAGCAGGTGGAATCCCTCCCATAGGGCGCACTGCTGTAAACAGCCGCGCTAAGCAGAGGTCGGGAGCCAGACCCCCCCCTCTCCCCCCCCCCTCCGCCCAATGTCGAAACGCCGCATAAGAAAGCGCTCACTCTCATCTGCGCTGGAGGGCGGTCCAGCGCGGATCCAAGAGACCCACGCGGACCTCCGGAAAGATATGCTCCCAGGCGAACGGCAGGCCCTCTGGCCAGGCCGTGGTGCAGATGCGGAGCCGCAAAGACGCGGAGGTCGCGAGGGACAGCATGCACGGCCAGTACATGGAGACCCGGTACATCGAGGTGGTCTGTTGAAGAAAAAGGGCCTCCGAGGGTTGACCCCTCTCCCACTCTCTATTCCGCCGTTAAGTATACATACATACATCAATCGATCTCTCTCTCTCTCTCTATATATATATATATGTATATATCTATGTATGTAACTATATAATTATAAATATACACGCACGGGAGCCAGCGGAAGGTCGGCCGAAGCTGGCAGGAGTAAAACAACAGCGGTCTCGCCAGCAGAAGCCGCTGGCAGGGCGGCGGATGCCGGCGGACGTAACCAGGCGACACCCTGGCTTGGGCAGGGCCAGCGCCCCCGGGGCTCCCGGAGCGGGCCAGGTGTTCGTCTACGGCGGAGAAGATGGCGCCCACGGCAGCGACAGCGCGGTGACCTCTACCCTGCCCGCCGGCCAGTTGCCTGGCGGGGCGCACCAGTGGGGCATGGGCATGAGCCCCTGGGATCCCCACGGTGTGGCGCCGATGCCGTGGGAGCTTCTTGACGGCCATCCTCGGGCCCCTGGCGGCGCAGCGGGCGGCCCCCCCGCGGACGGGGCCGGCCCTTCCGAGCCGGCGGAGTGGTCCGCGCTGTTCCAGTTCCTCTACAGCGACCCCCAGCCCGACGCGGGGGGCCTCGGCAGCGGAGACGCCTTCCTGCCGGGAGGGGGCGCGCAGACGCCCGCGGGCGGGGGCGTGGCGGCGCCCGTGCCCGTCGACATGCCCGCGCAGTCCACGACGCAGACCATGAGGGTCTGAGAGAGCGCCCGAGGCTGGAATCGAGGGAGGCAGGACAAGCGGCACAGGCAGCACTCCTGTGAGCTGCGCGCAGACCTCTCGGATCGGCGCTGGGGCCCCCCTCGCGGCGCCTCTGGTGCCACCACTGGCGCGCTCCGCGCGCTAGGGGTGGGGGCCCAGCGCGCACCGGTGAGGCTTCGGGGTGCGCGCAGACAGCCTCTCCAGGGTAATCGGTCCCAGCTGGCCTCGGCAGGCCCCCCGAGCAATTAGCCCAGGGCGGTCGCGACACCCCAGCCCAGGGGGGCGGCGCGGATCCCAGATGAGCGACAACAACAGAACGGGGTCGTCGGCGGCGACATCGGCGCGTGAGCTGCCCGCGTAAGCTCGCGCGTGAGCGCCCTCGTCTCCGGTGTGCATTGCCGCGCCGGCGGCCCGCGTAAGCTGTGGCGCAGGGCAGCCGTGTCATCTCGCGTAAGGTCCGTTTCTGATCGTCGCTCAGATGTCCGCGCGGGCCTCCGGACAGTTCTGCCCATGCCGTCCTCTGCCCCTCCCAGAGGGGCTCCCGAGGCTGGCGGGGCAGCCTCCCCGGGAGATGCCTGGGCAGGCGGCGCGCAGAGCGGCGCAGGAGGAGGAGGAGGAGGAGGAGGAGGAGGAGGAGGAGGAGGAGGAGGAGGTGGAGGTGGAGGGGGAGGTGGAGGTGGAGGAGGAGGAGGAGGAGGAGGAGGAGGAGGAGGAGGAGGAGGTGGGGAGGGGGAGGAGCTTCTCGGAGGCCCGTCCGCCCGTTTGGAAGCCTCCTCAGAAGCCTCCGACCCAGACGTGCTCGCGTCGTACCACAAGAATCCCCACGGGAGGTTTGTGGCCGTGCTCGGTCCCTGCCGGGCGGGCGCAGAGAGGGGCCCTCGAGGGGCCCTTTTCTTCACCCACCAGTGGGGCAACCCCCCATTGCCACCCGCCCGGCCCTGGGGGCCCGCGCTGGGACCTGGGACCGCCAGTCACGACGCGGGCCGAAAAACCGGGCGTGAGGCACCCCGCATTGAAAAAGTACAGGGCGTGGAGCGTCTGGGCCTTGAAGCCTCCGAGTCCTCTCGAGGAGCCCCCCCCCTGCCTTCTTCCGGGGAGGCGTGAGGCTCGAGGTCGTCGGACATCGGGCTTGCCGGCGCATTGTGGCGGGCCGGTCCAGAATATTGACGGTCCTGTGTTCGTGGGGTGTGTGCAGCGGGAGCTCGCGCCGTACGTCAGACGTGCTCTCGTCATTTGTTCGGCGGCCTCGTCAGGCCAACAGTCGAGTCTATCGCTCGAGTCTTGCGTCTCCCTGCCTTCTTCGAAGGCCGCCCCCTTCGCCCCCCCCCACCCCTGGCGCGCCGCCAAAAATGGTGAAGGTGTGGGTTAAACTTGAGTCGGACATGTCCCTTTACAGGAGGAAGATTCAAAAGTAGTCAACAAGTGATATGGGGACGATTCCTTGACTATTGTTGGCGATGTTTGAAAATTGTTCGAGCTTTTGCCCAAAATCCGCCTGAAGGAGGACATGCCTAAGGTTTGGGGGGGGGATCCGGCTGGCCTGACTTGGGATTGGGCGGACTAGACACAGCGACGGCCTGTTGAGGGGCGGGCGTGCCATTTGCGAAGTGAGCAGGGAAGTCTCGGCGGCAGCGTTACTTCATCTCGCTGTGAGGAGCTCCTCCTCCTCCCCCTGCTCTCGAAGAGGAGCAAGCTGCACAAGCGCAAACTTTCCGCCCTCTGCACGGATTCTGTCGATCGGCGTTGGCCCCCCTGGCGGCGCTGGCAGCTCCTGGCGTGCTGCCCGCGCGCCAGGGAGGGGGATCCAGTGCCGATTCATGAATTCCGCGAGAACCTTCAGAAGTTGTTTTTTCTTGCAGTTGTTTGCTCCTCTATCCTCCTCATCCTTCTTAGCCGTCCCTCTCTTTCACAGCGGCTTGGCTGGGGTCGTGGTGTGCATGGCTACTGCTATGTGTCTGGTATTGCGACATGTTTGCTATTGCTCATGCCCCGCCCCCTCCCTGCCCCTTCCACTGCAAATTCCCCTTGCCGCTCCACCTCTTCCTCTTTTCTTCGTCCTGAGTCACGCGCCTCCCTGTCCTGAATATCTTGATGCTCCCAGCTGCGTGTGGCCGACACACGGCTCAGTTCGATAGGATTTGAAGTTGTCCGGTACGGTGCCACAGCACAACATGCAAGATCGGTATCTCGGCTTGTGTGCTGGAGAGGAAGCGTGATGAATAGTGCAAGTTCACGGCTACCACGATCGCCTCTTCATGTCATCCACCTTCTTCGGTTACTGCCGTCCTGCTGCTCATCGGCCTCGTCGTTGTCCTCGTCTTTGTTGTCCTCCTTCTCCCCCCCCCGCCATCTCATTCCCAATGCGATGTGCGGCGGGAAGTTGTTTCATATCCAGCCGCCTGCGGCAAGCCCCGCCACCGTATCAGCGCCGCACCGAGGTAGTTCAATGGTGTCTTTTTACCGTAAGTCTGGCAGAACACACCTAATCCGCAATGTTTGCATCATCGATGAAGAAACAAACTGCATACACACGCGTTCGAAGCTCAACGCGGAGTTCCCAATGTTTTTGTCTGTGCATTGTCTTGGGTGCGATGGTAGCTCCGATATCTGCCGAGGAGGCTCTGTGGTGAACGAGAGGCCCGTTATCCCGTGGTGATTCATTGCGTCGTGGACTCGTGCGGGCCGCGGTTCTTCCGAGTTCTTCCGAACATGTTCGGTTGGGTTGATGATGTCCCTTAGTTCGGCATCGGTCATCCAGAAAAGAAGCCTGCACGTTTGAACCAGACAATGTATATGCCAACAGTGCGCGGCAGACATGCTCCGGAAGTACTTAGGTATTCAATTTGAGAGGCAGGCGGTTCATATCGATCACGTGTTGTTGTTTTGTATCCCAAATAGGTGTCATATATGTTTGCGAAAGTTGTCTCTGTCTTTCGTACGAGGAACTGGTGTATGTTGTAGATACCGGATTCTGCAGGTCCCGATGAACATGAGCAGAGGAGCTGCCGCTGTCTTGAGACAGCATGTGACCCGTGTGGGGCTCTGATGCTTCCTGACAGCATTTGGTCGTTTCGATGCGTCTGTGGTTCGAGCTTCACTTCACCGGTCTCGCCAGCGGTGGCGGGGGCGGGGCCAGGCTTGGCAGGGCCGCTCAGGGAACGATTCGATCCCATCCGAGCCCCATTCTTCGATTCCGACTTCGATCCCATCTGGTCTGGCGCGACCCGAGTCCCTCTCGGACCTGAAGTGCCGAGGCCGACCTGCGACCCAAAAGGATCTGATCCCGATCCGGTTCCGCGCCGAATCCTGCACGATCTGATTCGTTTCCGATCCGATCCGATTCTGCGGGTCGATCCAGCTCACGCCTGATTGGTTCGTCCGAGGGTAGCGTTAAGTCTTGCACGCATTGTCGGTTGCGCTGCCAGCGTCTATTCGTGCGAGTCGGTCGCGCACAAAGTCACAGTTCCACGTCTTCAAAACTTCTTCTGGCGGCGCCCGAAAATGGGTGTGCCTGCTTCAGGCTGCGTCAGCGTGCCAGCGCTGCAGCACAGCAGGGAGGGAGACGAATCCAAGATTCGCTCCAGTTCAGTGCCCTGTCTGAGCTGGCTCGGGTCTGAAGCACCCCTCCTCCTCCTCCTCCTCCTCCTCCTCCTCCTCCTCCTCCTCCTCCTCCTCCTCCCCCTCCTCCTGCTCCTCCTCCTCCTCCTCCCCCGCCGCACTCCTGGAGGACTCAGCGTGTTCATCCCTCTTCCTCCTCCTTCCTTGTCCCTCTTCTCCTCTTCCCGCAGCCCTGAACACGAGCGTCCGAGGTGGCCACGGTCGGCGGTGAACTGCTCGAAAGTTGTGGAGGACGATCAATGGAGAGGGAGCATGTTGTCAACTAGTTTCCAGATGTGTGAAGCATGTAAAACAACATTTTTTAAATGTAAAACATATGCTCAAAACATGATTATAACTGTGCTCCGACATGTTTTAAACATATGTTGAATTCAAGGATAGGACTGTCAGGGTGTCCATTGCCGTGGCATCCACAAGTCGCAAGGTAGGTGCGGGACCACGAGAAGCAGCACCGACCAACCCTCCGAGCTCTCGCCGCAAGGGGTCGAGGAAGGGCACAACGAGGGGCAGCGTCGGCCTCGAGCCGCGCATCCCGAAGAGACACGGGGGCAAAGCTGGCCCCTGTCCTTCTCCTCCTCCTCTTCCTCCCTCCTCCCTCCTCCTCCTCCTCCTCCTCCTCCTCCTCCTCCTCCTCCTCCTCCTCCTCCTCCTCCTCCTCCTCCCCCTTCCTCCTCCCCTGTCCTTCTCATCCTCCTCCTTCCTCCCTCCTCCCTTCGAACTCCTCCTTCCCGATGGCTCTCAAAAGCGTCGCGGAGGCCTCTCCTTTGTGCCCTCGCAGAGGGCCTGCTGGGGGCCGTTGGGCGCCCCGTGGCCGTCTTGGTTCTGCCGAGCTCTCCCGACGCCGCTCGGTGTAGATGCCGCCGGGCAATCTGCTCGGATCCCGGCGCCATCGTAGGGCTTTCTCGGCGCACTCGTGCAACGTCCTCGGGGCTCCCTCGGGCCCTGAGATCCGGGCGTCGCATTTTTGTTTCACATCGGGCGTTTTCGCCCGTTGTTCGGGCCTCGGGACCCTCGACCGATCTGGAAATAAAATGGCAACAGAAAGATGGGGTGTAGGGCTGCGGTCGTGTTTTTTGTATGTTGCAAGTTTTCGCGACGTCGGATCCTAGGGGCAGTCTTGGGGCTGGCTTGTGAGCTTGTCGGATCTGTTGTTGTCGTCTTGGCGCTCTCAGGGGCCTTGTGCGGTCCATCGTGAGTTTAGACAAGCATCGGGGTGTGTTCTCGTGTGCGTTCTCGTCCCGGGGCCTCGCAGGAGGCCTTCTGGGGCGCTTGTTGAGAGCTCAGACAGGCACTTGGGAATCTTTGAGGGTCTTTCGACATTGGGCCTTGGTAGTCTCGTAGTATTGAGGCATCCAGTCGGTTCTCGAGTCTGTCTTGGAGCTCTCTTGGAGGGGGTCGTGGACCGTTCCAGGGAGGAGGCGGGTTCTGAGGAGGGGCACGTGCGCATCAGGAGATGGTCGTACTTAGAGCGCTACTGAACTTCTGCAAGAGTTCTGGCACGCCCCAAAGTGCCGAGGGTACGGCGGCGGATATTTCGGTGGTAGTGTAGTGGTGGTGGTGTTGGATTCTCATGCTTGGCGGATACCGGGTAACCTCTCCAAATTTGTCAGCAAATGCATTATGTAATTCGCCTGGTACGTGTCGGTGGAAGAACAAGGAGGTGCACCATGACAATGTGGAGAGGAGGGGAGAGGGTGAGCCTGAGGCAGATGTGCGGGAGGGGAGGGAGGGAGAGGGGGAGGGGGAAGTGGCTGGGTGGGCATATGTTGTTAAGGAAGGGGAAACGCAAACATGGACGACTTAAGGCGCGTGATTAGCCATGGGCCCCCCTGCCACACGAAGCCGACGCGCACCGCAACAACATCAGGCAGCACTGGCCTCATGTCATGTTGCGGAGGGTGGGGGGGCGTGCTTCCCCCCCGCCCCTACGTGCCAAGGTCCACAGATGTGCAACCCATGCGAATGATCGTGTGCCTGACCGGGCGGGCAGAGAGATACAACTGCATCACCGTCCGTCGCCTCTCTTCACCTTCAGGAGCCCAAGCATCAGGATGCCACTCCTGGGAAGTGACTTTCACCACTGGCACTGGTGCATCCGTGGTCGAAAGCTGGCCGGATCTGACATGATCTCGCTTAGTCCATCTTAATCCGGCTTAACCTACTCCGAACTATTTCGGCCTAGCGGCGCTTGAATCGGGGTTTCTAGCCCTGCATCGTTCTTACAGAGACCTCCCAAGAGCTGCCTCCTGACGCGACAAACGCATTCTACGAGTTGGGCATTCTATCATAACCGTTTGGGTAGCTCGTCCCCCCTCCGATTCCACCCCTTCCTCCCCCACAAGAGCCCAAGCACAGGTAGGCATCCAGCACACCAGCCACAGAGCAAGCAAACATATGTGATTGGATGTCGGCGGCTAGGCGCGCGCGGCAACCCCCAGCGGACAGCCGCCCGCCGCACGCGCCACAGGCCTCCCCAGAGACATAGAGAGAGAGAGAGAGACATTAGAAGAGATCAGAATAGAGAGAGAGAGAGAGAGAATGAGAGATACAGAGATAAGAGAAGAGTAGAGAAGGAGAGAGAGAGAGAGAGAGAGAGAGACAGAAGAGACGGAGAGAGAGAGAGAGAGAGAAATAAGAGAGAGAGGGATAGAGAGAGATAGATAATAGAAGAGACAGAGAAGAGACAGAGAAGAGAAGGGAGACGAGCGGCGGGCGAGTTAGCATTGCAGCAGCGCCTCTGTCCCCCGAAAGCTCTCGGCTGGAGGTTCTTGGCAGCTTTCGGCCTCCGGGGGCCCTCTACGGGGCCCCAGGACTGTCCACCGTTCTCGACTCAGGTCGAGAAGCTGATCCCTGGGGAAGGGTTCTGTGTAGTTACGACTGACCCTTCGCATTCCGCCAGAAAGTGGCTGACGCGCTTGGCCTGCCTGGAGCTGCCATCCCCCCGCGGCACGGTGAAGCCGCGCACCAAAGGCCACTCCTGCGTGGGGCCATTCCTGCGTGCAGCCGAAGGGTCTCAGACCTCCGCTCGGCGGCGCGCCCAGGGGGGGAAGCGAGAGGGGGTGGGCCTTCTCAGAAGGCGCGGGAGTCCCCCGGCCTTTTGAGAAGTCACCACCCACCAAACCACCCCAACCCGACCCGAAGGCCCCAAGGTGCCCTCCATTCCCAGTGTGGGGGTGTCGGGGAGCATGGAACAAAGCACATATGAAGCCCGTACCCCCCCCCCCAACCCGAAATTCGGGCCTTCGGGTAGGGTTGGGGTGGCCTGGTAGGTATTCAAGAAGTTTCCCAAGCCTGCCCCGAAGACGCAGAACACGTCTCAGAGGGCCCGAGGGCTTCTGAGAAGCCCCGCCGCCTTCCGAGAGGGGGCGCACGCTGGAAGAGCATCACGGCGTCGGAGCTCTAGGTCCATCGTTGGCCCATGGGCCGGGCGCCCGCTCGAGCGCCGCCAGGCAGGACGCCACGGCTTGTGCGCGGCACGGATCCCCCAGATCTCTCGACTCCACCTCGCGGGCCGACCTTTAGTCGCGGGCCGCCTGCTGCTGGCCACCGGGGCCCCAGAACGCGGGCCCCCCGAGCCCGACGACGGAATGCCGACGCCCTCTTTGCTGCTCGTGGCGCCCAGGAGCCTTGAGACCTGGAAGTGGCATGTTGTTCCGCCTCGGGCGTTTTCCGCATCCGGGCTCTGGGACCATCACAGGTCGATCGGACTCCAAGAATGGCTTAGAAGGATTGGGCCTGGGGCTCCGGTCGGGATGTTTCGCGAGGTCGCCACTCCATCGCAACGTCGGGTCTCAGGGTGGGTCCACCGCCGCCCCCCTTGCAGGGCCGCCCGCGATGCGATGCGATTCGGGACGGTCCGCTCGCGATCGGATCCGTGCCCCACCCGATCCGGGGTCGCGAGTCGGTGCAGCTCGGGCCTGCCGTCTGCGGGCCCCACCGCCGCCGCCCGCTCCCCGCCCCCCCCCCTCCCCACTGGGCGTGCCCGCGTGCGCGAGGATCATCTCGAGGCAGGAGATCGAAGAAGCGCAGAGGAAGCGCGAGAAGGAGGACGCGCGCGCGTCCAACTGGGAGGATGGGCCTCGGAGGCTGGAAATCGCGGTTCCAGGATGGCAGCTCGAGGAGGTATTGGATGTCTGGGGTCGTTCTGGGGGCTTCGGAGAATTCTTGGGACCAACTTCCTCCAGTGGAAAATGGGGCTTCCACGAGTAAGCGGTGCCCCCCCTGGTGGTGACCCCCCCTTGGCATTGCCACATAGACGCAGGCCTCTACCGTCTCGAGCGGATCGTGTGGGACGCTTTTGGGGCGCCTGGAGATCTTGAGGCCTCTGGAGGCCCGTTTCGGGTCCCAGACCAGTCGGACAGTTGCCCAGGGCGAGGACAAACATTACTCCTGGCCCTGTGCCAGAATAGATCGTGTTGTCTTAGGCCTGCCAGGAGGAGGAGGAGGAGGAGGAGGAGGGGGAGGAGGAGGAGGAGGAGGAGGAGGAGGAGGGGGAGGGGGAGGAGGCGAAGGAGAATAATAATATACAAATGAAGGGGAATGAGGAGGAGGATGATGATGATGATGATGATGATGATGATGATGATGATGATGATGATGATGATGATGATGATGATGAGGAGGAGGAGGAGGAGGAGGAGGAGGAGGAGGAGGAGGAGAGAAGGATGAGGATGATGATGATGATGATGATGATGATGATGAGGAGGAGGAGGAGGAGGAGGAGGAGGAGGAGGAGGAGGAGGAGGAGGGGAGGAGGGGAGGGGGAGGGGAGGCGGAGGAGGCGGAGGGGAGGAGGAGAAGGAGGAGGATGAGGCCGAGGAGGCCGAGGAGGAGGAGGAGGAGGAGGAGGTGGAGGGGGAGGGGGAGGGGAGGCGGAGGAGGCGGAGGAGGAGGATCGGAGGAGGAGGAGGAGGAGGAGGAGGAGGAGGAGGAGGAGGAGGAGGAGGAGGCCGAGGAGGCCGAGGAGGAGGTGGAGGGGGAGGGGGAGGGGAGGAGGAGCAGGAGGAGGGGAGGAGGGGGAGGGGGGAAGGACGGGGAAGGAAAGAAGGATGCGGAAGGTGGATGACGGGGCATTTTTCCAGCCACTGCGAGCTCGACCAGTGCCTCTGCGGAAGGCTGCACTTGGGAGCCATCTGGCCAGGAGGGGCGAGAGGCACGGAGGCAGGCGGCTTTCGCCGAGACACGGGCCTTGCGCGGCCCCGATTGCGATACTTCCAAGCCCTCCCGGTTCGGGTTCTCGGTTTGAGCTCAGAGCGTCGGCCCTTCTCGCCCGCTTTCTACCGCTCCCTCCCCTCCCCTCCTGCCGTCCTTCCTCCCGCATTCCTCGCTCCCTCTCTCGGCCTCCCAACACGCACGGGGTCACTCGTCGCTTTTTTCGATCCCCGGGTGCCTCAAACGTTGCAAATTCCGTCCCTCTTGTGAGCTTGTGGGCCGGATCGCGGTGCTATGCAGTTCCGAACTAATTACGATGCTTGTCCCTGGGCGCTGCCAACTGCGTGCGCAATCGCCGGCAACTTCTGAAGGCTCCTGCGAGGTCCAGCGGAGTGCGGCGTCACGCAGATCCAAACTACAGTGCAGACCCATGCCAAGAAACACCCTGCTTGCCTCCAGGGTACCTTGGGCTTCTTTGGTTTCGATGGTTTTGCGATGGCAAGAGCAACTTTCCCACACCAGAAGTCCATGGACGTCCTGGGGTCTCATGGTTGTGGGTTTCTTGTCGGAAGGTTTCTTGTGAACTGGCCTCCACTGTACTACTTCCGTGGACGCTGCCAACTGCGCAATTGTCCGCAATTGTGTCAGCTCCTGGGATGTCCAGCAGGGTCTGGTGCAATGCAGAGCCTAACCGCCGCTACCTTCCCTGGGCAAATGACGGTTCAAGACACTTCGCTTTGACCGCCCGCCGCCCGCCCATTCCAGTTCTCGCTGGAAGAGGCGAAGATGGACCTAAGACAGGATTCACATTTCCAACAATGGGGAACACCCTCCCGCAGGTGTGTGCTTTGTATTTCTTCTGCGTTCCCTTCTTCTCCATCTGCTCCATTCCGTTGCCGAGTGGTCTCAGGTGTGCTGGGTGGTTGATCCATGTCCGTCATCATTACCAACGGACTATCGGCATGGAAGCTGGCTATTTGGACCCATGCTGAACATGAGCCCAACAAGGGATCGAGAGGTCCCTAGAAACGGGCCCACAACGGGGCCATGTTGAGCCCCAGCTACCTCCGACCTTCATTGAACTGGGCCTGGGTCTGGGCCGAGGTGGGCCCTGCTTGAGGGCCCAAGTTGGGCCCCGAATCGTCCAACATTGTGTCCGACAAACGGAATCACAGGATTCAAGACGCTTCGCGTTCACCGCCCGCCCACTCCAGTTCTCGCCGGAAGAGACGGAGATGGGGCTAACATGGGACGGCAACATTCTGGCAATGGTGCAATCTTACCCCACAGGTGTGTTTTGTATTTTCGCCTGCGCTCCATTTCTCCTCCATCCCATCGCCGGTTTGGCTCAGGCATGCCGCGTGGCGAATCGATATTGAATTTGCCGATTGGTCGTTGTTCCGACATCACTACGCACGGATCAGTGACATGGACGCCGGTTCTCTTGACCTTTGTTTCCTTCCCATCCACAGCAGGAAGATAGCCGGAACACTGCCCAAGACCAGCCAAAGACGGCCCCCAAACGGCCCAAGAGGCGCCCACGAGGGCTGAAGAGGGCCACGAGCAGGGCCCAAAAGGGGGCCAAGAACGGCCCGAGGCGGCCCAGGCGGGTTTTTTGGACCGCTCAGGCGACAGCATCTCCGCGTTGGGCCACAGCCCTTTCCGAATGCCATTGAAACTGGGCTGGGATCTGGGCCGTTTGGCGCTCCGCTTTGGGGACCAAGTTTGGGTCCAGAACGGTCCAAAATTGGCCCGGGAGCGCTCCCCAAAACGGCGTCGAAATTCGCATTCTGAGAGGTGTCTTGGACGAGCCTGAAATCGGCTACAAGGAGCGTCTCGGTGACTCCCGGCGAGGCCAAACTCATGAACAACTGCTGGTTTTCAGCTGTATCTTTGAAGCTTCGAGCTCGTAGGCGAGATTGGGCCCACGAGGCGTTCTCGAGGGCCCCGGGAGTCGACTGCAAGGGCGAAGGAGGGGCCCCAGAGGGGCCAAGATGGAACCCAGATGCGCCCTCAAGGCGTATTGGGAGCGGTCTGGAGCGCGAGCTCGTCTTGGACGCCGTCTGGAAGTCTGGAAGCCGTCTTGGGGCTCGAAGAATTGCGTTGCATCTTCGGGAGACCTCGCCTGTCCCCCAAGTTAATGTCTTCTCTTGTGCCCGATGCGGACATGTCGCGGATTTGGCGTGGATTCGACGCGGATTCGACTCGGATTCGACACGGATCCCACACGCATCGGATGAGCCCGACATGGGTTCGACACGGATTCGACGCGGATGGGACCGCGACGGGAGAGACAAGCTCCCCCGAGGATGCAACACATCGAAGATGGTCGATGCCGCAGCCCGGCAGCGGAATGGCTGAGGCCTCTGCGGGGGGGAACGGGGGGGGGGCTAAAGCTCTGTAAGAAGCTGGCGCAGTTAAATTCAGACGCCCCTCAGCCCGGCTGGCGGGCGGATTACTCCAGAGGCTTCCGCCATCCCGCCGACCCCAGAAGAGGAGATGTGCGGCTGCCGATCTCGTTTGTGTTGTTTGCCGCTTCCCGTCATGCTGACTGCGCGTGGTCGTCGCTGACGTGTCTCCGTCTTTCTCCACGTCTGCTGCGGGGCTTCTTGGGGGCCTCGTGGCGTGGAGGACCTCGTGGAGGACCTCTCGGGAGGGCTCCTGGGGGCTTTTCGGAGCCCTCTGTCGCTTTCTTGGCGGCTGCTCGTGGGCACGGTGGGCCTGTGGGGGAGGGCTCCCGAGGCCCCCTCATACGTGCGAGTTTCCTCCCGCCCTCGGCCTCCAGATTGCCCTTCTTGGAGCCCCCTTGAAAGCCTTTCTGGCCGCCCTTGGCGTCTCTCGGGCAGTCTTGGGGCCTTCTCTGGCTGTGTCCAGGCCCTCTCGGGGGCCTCCGCGGCCGTCTGGGCCAGCCTGAAGGGTTCTTGGACTGTCTTGGGTCGGGCTCCCAGGAGCCCGCAAGGCGAGAAATTGATTTGTCTTGTGCCTCTGGGGCAGGTTGGGTGGGTCCTCTTGGGCCCTCTTCGGGCGTCTTCGATGATCAGGAGTGGGAGTGCGGGAGAAGCGGGAGGACCAATGATACTGAAGAATGTCGGAGGCGGAGGAGGAGGATCATGGTAGTGGTGAGGAGCGCAAGCGGATGATGGTGATGATGGCGGTGATGTTGTTGTTCATGGTGATGATGGAGAAGGAGAAGGGAATGATAAGAACGATGATATGATGATGATGATGATGATGATGATGATGATGATGATGATGATGATGATGATGATGATGAATATGATGTTGCTGATGATGATGATGAGGAGGGTGGTACTGATGAGGACGATGATGGCGATGGGGCTGATGCTGATGATGAGTGTGCTGATGATGATGATGCCGATGCTAATGCTGATGCTGATGCTGATGATGGTGCTAAGAATGACAATGATACTGATGATGATGCTGCTGCTGATGATGAGCATGACGATGCTGATGACGATGCTTATGCTGAGGCTGCTGCTGATGCTGATGATGATGATCATGATGCTGATGTTGATGATGGTGCCGTTGCTGCTGCTTCTGATGATCGTGAGGCGGAGGATGAGGATGATGATGCTGACGACGATGATGAAGATGGTGGTGATGATGAAGCGGATCATGCTTACGATGTTGATGATGTGTATGATGATGTTCATGCTGACTGAAGTGTGATGCTGATGATGCTGATGAGGATGGCGATGATGCTGCTGATGATGCTGATGCTGCTGAGGATAATGAGTATGCCGATGATTGTGATGCTGGCGATGGTGATACTGAAGACGATGATGATGCCGAAGTCAATGCCGATGCTGATGCTGCTGCTGCTGATGATGATGATGACGATGACGCTGACGATGACGATGATGACGTTGATGATAGCGAGGCGATGACGATGACGATGACGGTGATGATGATGCTGACGATGATGATGATGATGCTGTTGAGGATGACGACGATGATGATGATGATGATCATGCTGAGGACGATGATGATGACGATGTTGCGGATGATTATGACGATGGTGAAGTTGATGATGATGCTGTTGATGAAGATGACGATTCTGATGGCGATGATGACGATGCTGGTGCTGATGCTGATGCTGATGCGGATGCTGTTGATGATGCTGATGATGCTGATGATGGTTGTGGTGCTGCTGCTGATGATGATGCTGCTGTTGCTGCTGATGATGACGACGATGCTGATGATGCTGTTGATGATGATGATGCTGCTGCTGCTGATGATGATGATGATGATGATGATGATGCGGATGAGGATGGGGATGGGGATGGGGATACTGATGATGATGATGATGATGATGATGATGATGATGATGCTGATGCTGATGCTGATGCTGATGCTGATGCTGATGCTGCTGATGCTACTACTGACGATGACGATGATGATGCTGTTGATGATGGT